CATGTTTCTAAAGCTTGGTGGTAAGTGTCTCTTAAGCTTTGCATAATATCTTACGTTTCTTGTCAATGACACAACATGGATTGTTTTCATTGCAACATAAAAGGAATGTTTCTTTCTGTGTGAACTTTGGAAATATTTGTAATAATGATTTTCATTTTAGAAGCAATGAACTATTGTTACTATTATTATTGGACATATCCAACGTGTCTTGTGTTTTTATGTTAATAATAGTATTTATTTCAGACCCAACGTCATTATGAATTTTTAAAACTCAGTAATATATTATTCTAATTTCGGTAATACTGAACCGAAAAAAATCTCGGAATTGGTGGAAATTTTCGAATCGGTCTAATTATCAGGATATTACTGCGGTTAGTCGTAATACTCACTAGTGCGGACGTTAATCCACACCAGGGAGTATCGCATCCACAGTGCATACCTATAAATATCCACAATTCGTGACCTCCTAGTCATACTATCCTGATAATTAGACCAATTCGTATATACCAAGGCAAAAATAAGGTTCGGATTCCACTATAAACTGTAGGTCCCTTAGTTGTCATTAGCTGTATGGACTATTAATTAACAGCTGTGTTTAAGGAATGTCGGCCTTAGTCACTAACAAGACTAATAGATCGTGCCACTCATCCTACACTCAGCTCCATTTATTCTTGGCTTAAAATACCTACTTTGTATGGTCGCCATTTATTAAGAAAGTAGGCCTATTAAAGAAAATAGCTGAATTACAGGACGACGCCACCGTCCCAGTCTTCATATTCAAACCATTTGTAATCATAACTTAGCATGACCAGTCACTCATCCTCATGACAGTGGACAATGGACCTCAGTTTACTATCAAAGTGTTTGTTTACCCTAGCAAAAGTTAACGTTCAACGAAACTGATATTTTACAATGCTGTCTTTGTTTTATTTTGTTTTTTTTTTACTTTAAAATAAACACTGTTGACAACTTAAAAACCAACAATTAATTTTACTGGGAAAACCCATGCTGTAATTCTTGTTTCTGTACGTTAGGGTATTGGTATTATATATTTCACACATATCTAAAAAAACATTTTATTGATTTAATTGAATGGTAAAAACCATGTGGGTATTTAATCAATAAAACTTGTTGTGATAATCAATAAAATGTCTAATCTATTAGGAATTTTTTAAAGGTGTTTAAAACACAACGAAAATACATTTATTATATTTTATACAGGTTGATTTTACAAGTCTTTCCATTATTCAATCGGATCATTAAGATGGTGGACTTAATCGTCCCAGCTAACGGACAAGATGGTGTCCTATAATTAGGGACAATAACCTACTTAGCTTAATTTGAACGCTCAATACCTTGAATATTCAAACTGTTGTTGCTACGTGGTCTTGAATAAGTAGGTATTTCAATAAATACGTTATTTATTATATTTTTTAGCTTTATTTAATTAAGAATGATGCCGAAATCATTCAATATTTCAAATTACTATACTATATTTTTGTAAATACCTATATGTTTTTTATATAAAGAAGACTGACTCTTTTTAAAGTCAGTTTAATATTTGATGAGGGAATATCACAAAATATTTAACAAAATATTCAGTATTAGTAGACCAAAACCAGTATTAGTAGATCATTGACCAAAACAGTTATACAAATAAAACACATTAATTTGTTATGAAAAGAAAACTATTTTCATACTATTGATTTAATTTTGTGTTTTTTACGCCGTTGGAATTTGTCAACATTTTGTAAGGGAACGGTCCAGACCCTGGTCTTGTTACTATCTATCGTCGACCTTTTTGTTAGATAGCATAATTAATTCATAGCCCAATAACAAATGGCATCCAAGTCTAAATAACTTCGCTTGGGATTGAACCAGCGAACTTCAGATTTGAAGGTGAGTGCTATATATTGTTTTATATTTATTCATTCAATATTTTTTTTATTAAATAATGATCAAATCAACTTTACGAAAACATTTAATATTATTATTTTTGTGTTTATTCGAGAGTTTTTGGCAAGAAGGTGACACACAACAGTAAGGTAATGTGGCCCAGAGTTACTACTAATGGCAACATACAACTCTACAAAAGCAGACAACTGGAAAACATAACTTTCAGTTGCACCTGAGACCTGGCAAAGGATACAAAGAGAAATATTGTTATGTATCTGGCTTAGAATCAGAACGTCGTATGTTTTGTGTTATTTCCACCTAAATCGCTTATTCAAGGCTCAAAGAAGATTTGAAGCCTAGACTACTGAATATAAAGATTAATCGTTTTTTGGCATATAATTTGTTGGGGTTTCCTAAATTTATTTCAATTAAAATAATTTAATTTAAAAACAATAATAATTGTTTACTGATATTTTTTCCAGTTTAAGCATATTTTACAATTTTCAGTTCTATGTACTAAACTACTAAGCCTATATTCTAAAACAAGTCAGCAGACATTAATCCAAACAAAAACCTAAAACTATGCACACTAGTTATAATGTTTCAAAGCATAAATTTTCATTCAAACATCAAACATAATTTATTAGGGCTTAAAGAACTGGCAGGTTTAATCTAGAGATCAGCTAGCAAGGGTTTGTGATGTAACCTCATCAGCAAATGCATCTGCTGAACACAGACCAGAACTGTGAACAAGGGAAGATGTCAGAAAGTGATCTACTGCTTAGTGATGTCAGTGACAGTTCACCACGAGTACAAATCGATTAATTTAATTAAATGTTTCTATCCATGATATACAATCATACATTTTAGGTCTATGTTGTCTAAGTTTAAACAACAGTATCAGCTCCGTGGAGATTTATTTTAGCAACAATTTAGTACATATATTAAATTGTTGTAACAGAGGTCTTCATGTAGTTTCTGTATGCATATTACCATGCATTTAATGTTTCGATAGTGGTATATGCTATAAAGTTGTTTAGGAATGAACTAATATTAGTGTTTAATATTCTAATATGTATACCTGATATAGACTATACCTGTAATGGACTTAATATTTAAAAGATAAGTATACACGTCAGAATCCGTTAGATTAACAATAAAAAGGTGTCATTGGCGGATGTCAACAATTGTAGTTCCGTATTACTATAACTTCATTTAATAGTCGTAACGTACATCACACGCCTAGATTGCCACCCCCAAAAGTTCAGTTATTGCAGTGCAAAATAAATAGCATACGTCGGTTCATAGTATTAATAGGTAAAATTTTGCATTTGTATTTCACACTAAAACATCTACCATCTTAAAATCAATCTTTTAGGCAATTCGCAATGCATGAAGTTTCGAGAATCCTAATGAAACGTCAGATTAGGTTAAGTTAGATGATAATCAGCTTATTATGTTTGGCTTGCCTCTATCTTAAAATCAAAATACCTTTTTAGCATCTGCTCTGTAGATTAAAGACATAAACTCAAATAAGTAGACTACAAGAGCCTTAACTTCACAGGGTTCGTCCATATTTGCCTCATCATCTAGCGAAATTTTTTAAAAGAACTGAGGTCAAATTAAGAGTTTTATTCACCCTTTACATATGCAAGGGAAAAATACTTAAAAACTACATTTAACAGGGGGAGATTTACCATGCCATTATGAATGTCTTTAACAAAATATATAATTTTCGTATTATTACTATTTATTTAAATGTGAAACATTAATAAGCTAGGAGATCACAAGTGTGATAGTCCATTTAGTGAAAGTTTTATTTTGTTTAGAGCCAGCAACCAGAAAAAATAAAGTGTAGCTTTGAGACTTTTTGCTACAAACCCTAACGTTGATATTCTAAATCTTTCGCTGCCATTTCTGAAAAGTTCATCATCACCTGAAACCTGAAAGAATGAACGTTATCAAAATATTGTACGATTTTGTTTCGTAATTTGCTACCTATTCTTATTTTCCTCGGAGAGAAGGTAGTTTTAAGTCCCAAATACCATTACGAACTCTCAAGAGCCCCTTTCTCTTACTTTCTTTGGGCTGAAGCTACTTCCTGATCTGTGCTCAAGAGAAATTGGAACAAACCGGTCACAAAACGGATCTAAATCATTTTGGAGGTTGTGTAGTTTCATCAGATGTTTGTGGATTTACAAATTGTGAATCGCATATTCAAATGGTTTTTCTTCCTAACGGTTCCGGCATTCATAATATCAAAGCCTATGATTACAGCTGATTTCGAAGCTATATTTCAGTGACTTAGTGCCTTTGATTTCAATCAACCCTGATACGATTCGCATTGTTGCTACACAATTAATTATTTAGGCTATCAGTCTACATGTGTGTCTAGTCTGTGTGTGTCTACCAAGGTAGGGACTTGGAGGAACTGAGAAGACCATCGAGGGACAGAGAGGGTCAGGGAGGTATGTAGAGGGTAAAGAAGAAAGGAAAAAGACACAGAGAGTAGAGAGGGTCAGGAAGGGACCAAGAGGAATAGAGAGAATGAGGGAATGACATTGAAGAAGGAAGAGGTCTGGGGTGGCAGAGTAAAACAGAAAGCGTCAGTAAAAGTACAGGGAGGTTGGTATAGAGAAACTGATAGAGGGTCGTGGAAGGACAGGGGTGGCAGACAGGGTCAAAGAGGAACAGAGAGGGTCAGGTAGTGGTAGAGAGAAACTGATAGGGCCAAAGAGGAACGGAAAGGGTGAAGCCAGGACAGAGAAGAACAGAGGGACCGGGGAAGGACAGGTATGTCAGAGAGAGTCAAAGAGGAACAGAGAGAGTCAGAGTGTGGCAGGCTAACAAATAATTTTAATCCCGTTGAACTACTTTTGTTTGCATATTTGCACTATAGATGGGATGAATTTCACTCAAAACTGTCTTTGAAAATATTACTACCTGTATGCAAAGGCAATACAACACTAAAACACAATATTTACTTAAGCAAACCAATCGAACATTTCACTACATACTAACTACATTAGTGACCTTGAGCAACAGCTGTTCCATGACTGTACCAATCGTGTACATTAGTCTATTACACAGATGTTAGTGTAGTGATGGATCTTGCAGAGAGAGGGGTGTGTGTGGAAGAGTGTGACAGACCACGCAGCTGGTGGGAGACTCTCAACTGGAGAAGAATCTGCTTATACTTCGGCATCGCAATCGTCTTATACGACTTCTGCTATTGTATCATCATCTACTTCTACATCAAGTTAGTAATTCTTGAAGTAGGGTTACAACAATCAAGCTTGATATACTTGATATTATTGTTGATATTGTTGATATTCTAGGGTTGATAACCTTGATATTCTTGGTCTTCAGGCAAAACTATGCAATATGATATAATATGATTTTAAGCTACAGATGGCTCTATTTCATTCACAACTGTAGTGTTATAAAGTTGGTATGATATTTTTTGTTTTAATTCTTTTTCGATATTCCTAATATCAATACAAAAAAGGAATTTGATCAAATAAATTACATGGTTTTGGAGCAATAATTTGATTTTAGCTGAAAGAACAGTTGCGTTTAAAATACAACGTTCAATATTGCAAGATATATTCAATATACAAAAAATATAAAATACAAACAGGTAATTAGATGAAATCTGGATCTGGTTATCTCTTTAATCTCTCATTTTTATCAACAGAAAGTATTGTCAGGGCTCTCAAGTTAAAGGTTTCTCATTTAAACAAAAAAGATTCTGGTTGTGTCCCAAACAAAGACGATTTTAAACCCAGATACATCAATCAATTAGTTTTGATATTTAATCTTAATTCCATCGTCCAAAAGGAACACTTAGTATTAAGAATGGGATGCTGACTTTCCTTTACCAAAATATAGAGAAATCACAACGGTGTTGGAGAATAAACGTAAAGCAAGTATTCCACCGAACTTGTTAGGAATTTTGGTTTGAAACTAACTAGTTTACAGCATGATATTCGTAACTAAGAATTAGCTCATCCCCTAAATAACAACAGATTTGTTCTAAACTCATATGAAAAGTTGTAGATTTATTGAAATTTAATAGGATACAACAAATGCAAAAAAAGATACATCCATCTACAATGCAATTATCTAAAACAATGCACTCTTATACCAGTTATGCTACTATTTATTAAAGTACAGTACTATATTTACAAGATAATCTTCTGTATTCAACCAACAATAACTTTTTATTTTACTGCACTACGGAGAGCATTGTTGTTCGATCAGCTGTCAGACTTCAGTTTTAATTACTTTTCTCTCGTGCCAGTCTGTTTGTTTAATGTATCAGTCAAACAGGCCTGATTTCTTGCCTTTACTATTAACGTTGTTTAAACTGTCTGGATAATTATAACCATTTATAACACGCACAAAATTATACGGCCTTTTTTATTCTGTTCCTTATGAAAAGTTGTTAACTATTATTTTCCCATTCTTTTCATAATTTAGACATGTTGACTTTCAGTATAGCTATTTTATTCTAGTCTAGTAATATGTATATAAGGCGTACGCTCATTCTTCCCTTATTGGGACGAAACGAAGACAGTGAATAAGGCTGCGCTGGTAAAGGCGACCAGAATACACAGTCGTACTCTAGTTGTTGTGTGTCCACATTCTGGAAAGTCAGGGATAGTCAGGGAAAGTCATGGAAAAAAATGCTGGTCATTGAAAGTCATGGAAATAGGTAAAAAGTCATGGAAATTCCCAATGATGGATCTAGTCTAGTAACATATATATTTTATATTTTCTTGTTTTTCTCTTTTTTCCTGTACATACCCTATTGTTATCCTCAGGGCGCTGAACAGAAGTCCAGAGTTTCGGCTGGTGGTGTACAAGTCCAACTACAGGTTCATGAAGCTCTACTACACTTTGCACTATTACTTCGGTGACGCCTCTCTGCTAGATGAAGACACTTCCCGCTGGCAGCAACATGGAGATCTGTGACAAGACTGTGTAATTATTATAATTATTTTCAGCAAGACAGTTTTTTATGCCACATGGAGGAGGCAAGAAGTTCAAGAACCTGTCGGCTTTCGAGCTATAATTTTATTTTTTTTTTTAACTAACGTGACAACAAACGTTTGATTACATGATGTTGAAGTGTATGGCGTTTTAAATATTTGAAATGAATTCACTTGCCTTGCCTGTACGTTGCATGTAATTCACTTGCTGTAGGAAGAAATATTTAAAAATGTATATGATTTATGAAAAACTAAAACCAAAATACCCAATGTTCTCCTCACTCAGCGCTCCATCAATAACTGGTGAACGTGGAATCATTAATCTCTTTGAGAATATCCACAAATGACCAAAGAAGTACCTATAGATATTTTGGAGATCTCTTTAAGTGGTTTTTCACGTCACTTAAATAGTTTTTAGAGAAACAACAAATATAAATCCAGTAATGTATTTAATTATTTATTATTTCTACAGGAAGATCTAGCATTTCATAGTTCTTAGTTCATCTAAATTAGATTATACGTTGTTTGAAGATGTAGAAAAATACATATGCAACATTTTGTAGATAGAGAACTAAGTTATTTTTATATCCTGCAAAATAGGTTACACTACACAACCCAAATTGTATTACATGAGGAATGGGTACAAATAGTAATTTGCAAATCCCTATTCTTATTTTAAAACAATCGTAGGTATATTTTTTTATTTATATCTATTTATTAATTAATTCCTGGCAATCATCCACGAATTATCAAATAGGCCATGGTTTTGCGATTATAATACGAAAGAGGGGTTTGGTGTATTTATTTATTTCTATATCGTTTGGCACCAAACGAAATATAGTATTTATATTTATAGAAATATGGTTCACGGCTTCTGCTCCTTGCAATTAAAATAATTCTTATAATAGTAAATGTAGTTAAGTATATAAAATACCTTGATACTGTACGATAAAACTTGTAATGTACTATTTACATAATGTATAAAGTATTATTCAAAATAAAGTCGAGATATGTCCCTAGACTTTCAATTGTAAAAAGAAAGTAGACAGTACACCCTCTATGATATTTTTCAGAAGGATGTTATTTGACCACTACGACAATCTAGTACAAATAAATTATTAAGTTTTGTATGAATTGTTATTAACATTTTTAAGAATACAACATATAGGTCTTCTAACTTTCTAATCAATTATAGGGGATTGTATGAAATTAGATTCATCGTAAAACCTGTTAAGGCCAAGTGATGAATCTACATTCGACCTTTTTCTCGTAGAATGCCGCATTATCAATAATTGACATTCAACTCGTTTGCATTTGAAATATTCACTAAATTTAACGGGGAATTAAAACGCTTCTCTTATCACTAGAGAGTACTTCAACGTTTTATGTGAAATAAAACTATTACATCAAAACAAATGGCAGTCTAAAAAACAAGTCCTTAAACCATCAATTTCATTTCCCAGAGTCTTCTTTAGGTAGGCCTACTTTTTTTAAGGTTACATAGTGGCTTTTCAAAGAATATTTTATTAATTCTTATGAATGTAAATACTAAATACAATCATGGCTAGCTACAATGATCACAATGATCACAATGATAATAACTATTCAGGCCCTACAATGGGTTTATTGAACCCATTAAGTACCTTCACATTCATGATCAGCCTCCTTACTCGTGATTAGACAATAGTTACTCGTGATTAGACAATCTAGACACTCTTGATTAGACAATAGTCACTCAATACGTCTTGAGCGTATGTTCGACCATTGTCGATATCAAATATCATCAAACATTTAAAGAAACGTTACATTGGATATGGAATCAAAAAACTCTTTCAAACTCATAAATGTGAATAACAATGTCATAAACCATTTGAGTGTAAATTAAGCCCCTAAAATCTATGAATTGCTACCATTAATTGTGTTATACATATCTTTAAGTAGCTAACTAAAATATTACAGTAAGCCAACATAACTTAAGAATAAAATAACTTTTAATACGTAAACTAGGAGTTTACTTCAGACAATTTACTTCATGTTTGTCACGTTTAAGTCATAATTCTTGTTTACTTTTATGGATAACAAGGTATCCATACATGTTGACTATTGATAATCCTAATCCACCACCTACAACGTTTAAGGCCCAACAATACAAGTTCAACTTACCATAACTTTGAAACGTCATCATTGCTATCATTTATCTTATCAACAATATTCCTTACTGTACGCTAACAGTGAACTTGTTGTGCCATGGTCTAAAAAAACAAGAAAATATGGCAAATTATGACCATATTTATTTTTTTAAGTGAAATGAAATATTTTAAACCATATGCATTATTTAGAAATGCTTAGTAAAATAGATTAATTATTGTTACCCTTACAGTAAAAGTTTTAGTTTAGATACATCAAGATTTCTCCGTAACTAGCACACACCGACGATTAATACTAATGTATGTGCAAAAACGTTGATGTTTTGTGCTCTACCGAAAATTACCAATTGGTCCAAAATCATTGAATATTTTGTAGCAATGTCCGAAATCAGCTTTCTTCTGAGACCATTTCTGTGCTCTCTGGCTCCCTCATCGACACTCTGTAACTCATCTATTATATTTTTCAAGATGAAGTGTAAATTGTGGTAATATTCTAGATTTATGAGCAGTTCCTGTATATTTTCACCACAAACGAGCCAATTTCCTGTTCATTGTCAACGCCCCAACAAAGGCCTTGGTAACGTCACTGCGGCTGACACGGTATTTGTCTTTTACCAATAATTAATGTTCTATCTATTTCCTACTTGAACTGTTTTAATAGGCTTTATAAGATTGATTGCTGATTTGGAAATACAAAACATTATGTAGTACATTTAGAACTACTAATTGCAGTAAATCCTTGCAATAGTTTATCAACAAATATGTGTAATTGAAACCCGTAAACTTTGTTAGAAAATTAAATAATATAGGCATAATTTTTTTACATGATTGCTGAAAATTGGTTTTGTACAACTTTTTTTACAAATAGTATACATACTATATTTTATTATTCCTTAGCATATGAATCAAATATTGAATGAAACAGGAAACATATTTAAACGAATTAAGACTCATTTATTTGGAATAGTTGCGAAGGCATACTTTCTATTTATTTTACAATTTCAACGTTTTTAACCCTGAACTTTGAGTACTTTGACATATGATGATAAAGTTAAGTTTCTATGTATCGCAAATACCGAAGCTATGTCATATATTGCTAATTATCAATCTGATCTATTGCAACCAATGGTTTAAAATTTTGCATAAAAATGTTTTACATATTATTCTTGGTATAAGTTAAAAAGTAGTGTGATACTGTTTTGAAGGTTTTTCTAGTGTAGGTAAGCCGTTTTGTTGAACTGTTTTCTATATTATTGTTAATACGTTTACTTGAAAGTAATTGATCCACAAGAAATAAAAGGCCTTTACTCTTTGTAGTAAACCCACTCGGCAATGACCTTTGTCGCTAGCCTCCAACATAAAAGGTTATTGGTTCGTTTGTAGCCTGTGGAGTAATGTAATTGCTTTAGTGGACAAAATCTTTTACTTTAATACGTTTTGATGTGAAAAACGTTAAAGATTTAAATTATTTACAACGGGAGACGCGGGATTTTTACTTACACATGCACGCTTTTTATTTTTCCTTCCCAAACATATATGGAGAAAGTATTGTTTCGTCAAAATGTTCGAGTTAAAAATACATCCATCGTTTTTTGGTGGATATATCCATTTTGGGTGTCCCAGAATTTAAAAGAGTAGTATTCCAAGTTATGACCGTGTGTGTAAATTGTACAGAGCTATCAGTACTATGTTACGGTAATTTGGTGTGTAGAATATAATTAATAGTATCACCAGGATTTTTATTTTTGAAAAATTTGGATTTTTAAGCGTGATCTTCTCCCATAAACCCAATAATATAACGAAAAATCAGATTTTATAACCAGCTGGAAAGATTTAGAATAAAATTTAATTGTAACTCCATGTAATTTTATTTCCCCAAAAAAACCCATAAAATAACAGAAAAGTCGGATTTAAAAAATATTCACGACCTAATTTAGTTAAAATTTAGTATGGAACTCTAAACAAAATGGTACTACCCCAAACAAGTACGTTTTCTGTGCCCAATCACTGTACGGTTTGGAAATGATTGCACATTTTCTTATTTTTCCAATCAAATATAATAGTTACTTCAACCGCCAAACCATGATAAGAAGAAGAGGATGAAAAGGGACAGGAGGAAGAGTCGAGTTACAAAGGATTATATTTATGTTTTATTGTCAGTACATCAATAAATGACTGGACAAAATTTTGAATTAAATTAAATCGATAAGACTTAAAACTAACAGGTAAAGCTAATACATCATTAGGTTTGTTCTTACCTAATTCCAGCAGCCCTCTAAATAGTCGGCCAATGAAAAAAAGGATTTGATATGGTAATTACACTTTTTGGTAAATTATTTAGTATTTTTGGACCGTGCCGTTTATTGCAGTGATAACTGGAATAATTGTAAATTGTCAGCTATAGGTTTATTTATTTTTTTTTTTATTATGTTTCGTTTGATGTTCCCTAAAAGTGGACAGGTTTTTATGAACCCAGCCAGCCTTTTCTAAAATGTAGTGATCATAAAAAGTTAAAATTTGAAATTTTGAAACATTGTTTTACTAGGGGTTCTGGGAGGAACTGTGCCAGATTTTGAATGAGGAGAGTTGCCCCAGAAATAAGGCAACATATGAGAAATACGTATATGATGCATTAGTAGTTGTGTTACTAGATTCGTTACTTGTGAGATTATTTTTATTGAAAAAATGCATGAGTTTAAATTTGTACCTAAAATTTCAATTTGACCAGTTAAGATTCTTATTCAAAATTAATCCAAGGAAGTTCACGTTTTGTTGTCGAAGTACTTGATGGTTTGAAAGTAAAATGTGGTTTGAATCTTCCCTGTACTTCAGAAAAGTTTATTATTTGTGCTTCTTCCACATTTAAGGGCCAGGCAATTGGCCCAGAACCAGTCACCCAGAGCAATTAATTCCCTAT